ACCGCGCCCAGCTCACGCCGCTACGGCGTGCGACCTGAGCTGGGCGCCCTGCCCAGTATGGAACTGTCCTCAAGCCAGTCACGTATTTGGCAGCCCAGTGAGCTGTCTACCGGATCACAGCGTTTAGAAGCGCCAAATGCGGCAGGGCCAGTCTCAGGCTGGTCGCGTAGGCGGCAGGCCGGCGGGCGACCGGCAAGGCTGCATTCGCATTTGGATCACCGAAGGGATACAGGTGCTTCGACGGCACTCCGTGGCGCATCAAGGAGGCATCTGGGGCCCAGGCAGCCCGCCCGTAAGCGCACCACCGTATCAGGTATGCGCAGGTGGAGCAGCAGAGCAAGATGTGTGCCGGACACTCACCATCATCCGGTCGACTGCATGGTTGTGCGACTTTACACAGCCGTCACTCATTACTTGCTATTGCTTGCAGAAGGCCAGAATTTTTTCTTTTTTCTTTTTTCGCCCTTTCCCTTCTTCCAGGCACGGCTTCATGTTAGAGCAGTAAATTGCAGTTAGGGACTCAGCTGAGTCAAGCTGGACTCAGCGTGTCAAGTTTGGCATAATACAATAAGCGCGCTATCCCCAAACAGTTGTGTGGTTATTGTGTGAGTGTATATGCAGGAGTCCGCGGTCACGTGAGGGGGGAGTGATAAATAAAATTAATATTATGATTGGTACAGCTGCAATGTTCGTACGCAGCCCCCCCCCCCCCCACACACACACACATACACACTGCCCTACTGCCCCAGCACTCACTGGCCCAGAAATGGTCAATGATGCTCACTACTACCAAGAGTACATACCCCCCAGGGGGTTATTATACTCTTGGTACTACTAGAGCGAAACCTCCCTAATAACGACTGCGGATATAACGACAATTGGTATGGTATTGATTTATTTGAATTCGGTATCTCAACAGTACATTGTACAACTTGGGAAGATCCGAATGACATAGATACATAAACATAAAAGTGGAGTAGGTGCTACAGCGGATCATTTTATCGCAGGTTGTGGGACTAAACTAATACCAGTATGCAAGTACACAAGAAATAGAAGCTGAATAAATACGACTGCATGACATTGGAGAAAAGCACCAATTAGAGCAAAACAAAGCGACACATCACTCATCGAAAACATTTTCAAAAAGGAGCTGTTTTAAACGGGTACATTGTGGCCCGTCATTAAGAAGGCAACAATTCGCGAATAACGACAGAATTTACATGCCCAGAGCAAAGTCCCATCCCACTGTAATAATGATGAGACTTCGGGTATAACGACACTTCGCGAATAAGGACACCTTTTTGATGCCCTGCCGAGTGTCGTTATAAGCGAAGTTAACTGTACGTGTACTGGACATGTGCCTGCCCCCAGTGTACAACTTTAAAGCCTTCTGCCAGTTATTTGCTGAGTCATGTACGATGATGTGTTCTGGCTGTCCTTTTTCTTGCAGGCTTGCTGCAAACGCGATGGTTTGATGATGGACTGCTTGTGCACTGTAGATATGGCAGCTGTGGGACAGTCACCACGCCGAATTGGTAGGGAAAGTGTGAGCTCCCACGTAAGGAGCAAGCAACATTGTGTCCTCAAGTGTCGCCGAAGTTACTACTTCAAGTTCACTCCCATGCCAAGCACACCTTGAAGCGGACGTTTCACAAACTGGCAACCTGTTCAGGGTGCTAGCGGCAACCAAAGGGGGGGGGGGGGGTAGGGGGCGCAACGACCCCCTACTCTGTTTGAGCGCCCCCCCCCCCCCACATGTGAAAAGTGCCGCCCCCTACTCATTTTCCAATATTCGTGTTGTTTCATGCAATTCAATGAAAATGCAGCCGAAAGTCACTATTAGATGGTTCATAAAGGCACATTTGTCTGGGGCGGTCGGGGATTCGCCACATACGTTGCATTTAGCGTGGCAAGACAATAATATATTATTGGAAAGTGGAAAAATGGGATACTGGGTAACTGTTTCCCATCTCTCCCCCCCCCCCCTACTATTTTGACCTGGCCAGAACCCTGATGTTACTGAATCACTTTGCCTTGTAAATTCTGTGTCCTATGCTTTGCGTATGCTGCTTGTTCCAACAGTGAAGGAGGAAAACAAATGGTGCGTGCAGTTTCGGCTTGTGCAATAATTGTCTTTCTTAAGTAAGTATGTCAACTTGCTGTGCTGACTGTGTAAATTCGTGTCAGCTCTGATTGTTTTCTTTGTACGACTTCCAAGCACCAGTACAAATACTTTATCTGCCTTACAGAGTTTACACAGTAACAGAGTTACAGAGCAGCGACTAACTGACCTTGATTGCCCTTGTTGTCAGTCTGTGTGAGCTGCCTTATGTATAGAGTGTATGTATGCCTTATGTATAGAGTGTATGTATGCCTTATGTATAGAGTGTAGCCCTTTCCCAAAGGTGCTCTTTTAAATTCGCACTTAGTGCTTTTCGCGTCCCTCAAAAAATGCTCAAAAAATGCTTTTTTTCAGTGAAAACAGGCCAAAAGTGCTCTTTTTTCAGTGAAAACAGGCAAAAAGTGCTCTTTTTTCAATGAAGCATAGCCATGATACATGTTCAGATATGAACCCAAGTTGAGAAATGTATACGCACTCTTCCATTCATGGGTCCACGAAAGGCAAAACAGGAAGTTAGTTTAAAAAAACCGCTTTTTACAGCATTGTGTACAAGCTTCACCAACTAACTTGTTGCCCCCCAAAAAAGCGGCATGCCAAGGCCCATCGAGCACTTGGAAACTGTGATCGCATGCATGAGCAAACAGATTTTAGCACTTTTTCAGCTAAAAAAGCTCAAAAAGGGCGATAATCACCAAAAAACGCAATAAAGGGCGAAAGAAACGGGCTTTTCCAAAAAGGGCCAGACAGGGCGAAAAAAGGGCGAGCACCTTTGGGAAAGGGCTAATAGAGTGTATGTATGCCTTATATATAGAGGAATTCTCTAGAGGTATTCTCCATGTTTAAAAGTGTTGGTACACACTCACCACCTATCCTCTATCTCTTACACAGCAACCACACTACCCCAACCAACCAGTATATATGCTGGAGGGGGGGGGGGGGGGGCTGGGTGGTGCTCACAATCACATGCAGTTATAGCAATGACTCACTGACAGAACTGTAGGCACCCAAGATGGCAGAGGTCATATCTGCTCACGTGGAAACAGATGAATCCAGGGACATACCACCCTGGGGCCTAATAATTACAACTCCGAGGAGAGGGCCACTTTGTCTAATGGTTGTTGTTTATTTTAGAACAAAGAGGAAGAAATATTTCATGCGCATGTGTATAACTAGTGACGGAGCTGATGTCATGCAGCGGGGTCGCTACAGAACTGCAGATCTGGCTTTAACTATCAATCACAGATTGCTTGTTGCTTTACTTTGAGCCAGGGAGTCGTATAGACCCGGGAGGCGACACGCGCATCACTTGTGCACAACCATGATCGACTCAACGATTCAAAATATTACGACCTGCTCGGTGTGGGACAAGTCCGTACATAGGTCATAGCGCGCGGGAAATCCGTACATAGCGAGGAATCGTCGTCTTCGTCCTTTCGAGAACAATTGTCACTGGTCAGACTTTCGATCTCCATTGCCGAAATACAGCCATCTGTGGCCATCGCTGAGGAGTTCACTTGTTCACTGTACTGGCTTACTCACTGGCTTTGCACTGCCACTCGAACTCTGAGGCACTTTGACCACCTAAGATGAGGTAATCCTTTCTTTACAAATTGCCTCAATATTTTCTCACCTTTAGGGCAATGAAGTAAATTCTTTCCTCATGACTAACCTTGACAGACTAAGTTGCCCTGTCCCAGTGATCTACAATACTTATATTGCACATTTGTGAAATATTGGACGAATCCAGATAAACGAAATGACTTACATTCGAAATTACATTTCCAAAGTTTTCCTTCACAAATAGTCCCAATTTGTTCTCACCTTTAGGGCAATGAAATAATTTTTTTCCCCATGACTAACTTTGACAGACTTAGGGTGTCATCGATTGGCGAATCTGGATTGAGTGCGAGCAGGCGGTGTGGTCCGAGCGACGTTGGCCCAATCGAACAAAACAAGGGTGTAGTACGCAAAATGTACGCATATCGTACAAAGATTCTGTGAAAGCTGTCCAAAAACGGCAAAGTCCATTTCCACTCCGGCCACTCCCGGTGTGGGGGGCGGTGTGGTCGGATTCTACTCCAAGTACACCTACTCCGGATTCGACCAAACGATCAAGCTCACTCGGAGCACACTTGCTCGGGATTCGCCCAATCGATCATGCCCTAAGTTGCCCTGTCCCAGTGATCTACAATACTTATATTGCACATTTGTGAAATATTGGACGAATCCAGATAAACGAAATGACTTACATTCGAAATTGCATTTTCCAAAGTTTTCCTTCACAAATAGTCCCAATTTGTTCTCACCTTTAGGACAATGAAGTCAATTTTTCTTCAGGACTAACATTGGCTAACAAAATGGCGCTGTCCCAGGGATCTACAATACTTATAATTATTACACATGTGAAATATTGGGAGTCAGAGTGAGGAAATGGCCTAAATTGAAGCTTGAACTGTTCTGCCATGTTTTATGCAGTAAACGCAGGGCTGAGAGCCCGCAAGAGCCATCCCGTAAGATCTTGTGCGCCACCAACCAAACCTTCGGTGAATGTTCACAAGGTTAGAAGCTCGCACAGATAACACACATTGGATGCTAATACAATGCACTCAGGAATGTGTGCAAATACAACAGAATTAATTCCGAATAAAGTCAACAATAGCTGCCTCAACACAGTGCTAACAACCTTCCGCGTTTTCCATATTCGAGTGGAACGAAAACGCTGCAGTGGAGAGTCCTTAGAAAAGACTGAAAAAATATCATCATATCGCTGCACGAGATCATCCTTACAAGTATAAGTTATAACGTCAGCTGATCGTACTGTGGTGGATTCATACGGCGGTAAATACACACTTGTCCACACACGCTCTCTTAACTGAAAAGTTATTCTGGCACAGAGCTCTCCTTCCCACCACCACCATCATCAGTTCGCATCTGGCGCCTAGTCGATGCAGGGTGAGTGGTGTCCGATATAGCATGCTGGTACATCAGGTAGCGCATGGTTGATTAATACGGTGGTAAATACACACCTGGCAATATGGCGGTAAATACACGCCTGCCCAGACACGCTCTCTAAACTGCAAAGTTATTCTGGCACAGAGCTCTCCTTCTCATCACCACCACCACCACTACCACCACCATCAGTTCGCGCCTGGCGCCTAGTCGATGCATGGTTAGCGGTATCCGACATAGCAGGCTGGCACATCAGGTAACGCATGGCACATAGAAGATGGCAACGACATAGCTTGATTGCGACGTACATTTCGTTCTCTCAGTTGTGCTGTAGCCTTAAAAAGGAAATAAGACAATGCATGCACATGACACAGACAAGTAATTACTGTTACAAATACTGCATACTGCTTGATAACAGAGAAAGAAAGTCAGTGGTCACACAAGACGCACGCACAGTTTTCGTAGGGTGAGTACTTTTTCATGTAGTACTGAATGCGGCAAGCAGGACTCGCCCATCCGCCCCTCCCCAAATGGATCTACTCGAATGGTTGCGGAGATAGGGGTGCTCTGGCGGGATTTTACGACATGCACAAGCGCGCACACAATATACACACGCACGCACACATATACACATGGACGCACGCTATGTCGCACGTCTTGGGCATGGCTTCGTGAATACAAGTAATAATTTAATGTTATAATTTATAGTATCCAAATGCTAGAGCAGCTTTACAAAACCTACCGTTCAATACTGGATCAATTCATCTTGTGACAGCTTCCTTGCAACACCCATGACTTGACCCCACTTCGTCTTGACGTCAGGAAATCGTTCACACCGGAGTTGGGACACGACTCATTGAAATCCAGGCTTATCTGCTGCTGGGAGCAGGACAGAGCTGATGGACGTCAGCAGCGGCTGTAGAACAGCCATAAACGAGTCTTCTTTCTCCGCAGTCAGGCGGGACAGCAGCTTTGCAACGCAAGCTTCTTGCCTTCTGTGGGTCTTTAGCGGCTGGGATTCGGAACGCTCTGTAGAAACCATTGAACAAGTCCTGCACTCTATCAACCCACAAGTATTTCTTCCAATTCATGATTATTCGCAACTTTTTCTGCAGTACGTGCACCAGATCAGAAGCCGCTAACAAGGGCGTCGGAACCGCACCGGCCGGGGCGGCCATGGCCGCCCCACTTTTTCGGCCGTTTTTTTTTTTTTTTTTTTTTTTTTTTTTTAGCACACTGCAACAAAGCGCGATGATCTCAGCGCAAACGTGGCAAATCCTTGTCCCCGATCGTGATTTGTTGCAGAATCAAAAGTCCATGTACACTGAAATGGCACCAAATGCCTGGGAATGCTTGCAATTGGCTTCAATTTTTGAATTTTTTTCCCGGGGGAGGGTAATGTTTGTCCCCGATCGTAGCATCTTCTTGGTTTTTTGCAGAATCAAAAAGTCTTTCATTGTAGTTACCGTACACTGAAATGGCACCAAATGCCCGGAAATGCTTGCAATTGGCTTTAATTTTTGAAATTTTTTCCGGGGGACGACCCCCGGACCCCCCCTTCCATGGCCGCCCCACTTCCAAAGTCGTTCCGACGCGCCTGGCTAAGTAGCAAGGTTGAAAGTTTCAAGACAAATTGAAAAATATAATAACATAGAAAATTAAAATTCAAACCATACCTGTGGCCCAAGCCAACACAGACTGAGCGTTCACGCGAAGAGAACGTAGATCTACGTCAGCTGAGGTTTCCTTAGGATCAGGAGGTGATTCTTGACCCGGATCTGGATCGCGATCAGCAGCACTCTCTGCCTCCATCACGATCATCAAATGCAACTAAGTACTAAAGTAGTTCATTCTTCTTCACGATCCTATCGATCCTGCACGAGTCCGTTCCCCAAGGAGTGCACTCCCATGGCATAAGTACGCGGAGTAGTTGGTTTATAACTCAGGGCACGCACCGGGGATATCTGAGGGAAAAGTGGGAGAAAGTGCCGCGAGTCAATCATAGTCGGCCCGGAAGGCCTCGTGTCGCCTCCCGGGTCTATACGTCTCCCTGCTTTGAGCTGTAATCCGGTGTGCATTGATTTTGATGAATTTCATTTTCCCGTGCAACTACAACTATGTTACTTGCACAACAGGCTTTCTGCATGCAACTACGGCAGCAAACGCTGCACATGGCTTCAATCCGGTGTGTCCTCAGTCCTGGCAACCATGTGTGTGTGCGTGTGTGTGTGTGTATGTTCTCTGCTTAGCTATCATCGCCTTCGGCGATGGGCTTTCCAAAGGTCCAAAGGTATGTTCTCTGCTCTGGTGGAGGACGGTTGTACTTTTTCGGGCTCTTGTTTCTGGCCTCCGTCCGTGCTTGTTCTCGCCGTTGTGGACGGCCTGGGGTGTCCCCAGCCGTCCAGGCCAACAGTGCCTGAGGTGGGGTATTCACCGACAGGAGACTTGGTCGGATAGTTACGATGCCGACACTCTCCTCGTCGCCCCCACCTCAGAGTCTTTCGCGAGGCCTTGCAAGCCCGCGAGTGGAGCAAACTACCGCACGAAGACGACAACTTGGAACGACTCTGAGCATTGGCTCATGGAATGTTTGCTCTGTTGTGGAGAGTGATGGTTACCACTTCTAGCGGCAGTCGTGAGAGGAATCGTTTCCGATGATAAGCCAGATCTATAGCTGCTGGAGATGGCTCTCTCGAACCTTTACAATTACATGGTCCCGCTCGTCGTTCTATATTGTCGGCCCCGTAAGGGGACACGTGACCGTAATGGCAGTGTTTACCAGGACCAGGACCAGGTGTGTGGTGGGGGTATGTGTGTGCGGGTGCGTGTGTGTGTGTGCATAGGTAACTGTCTTGGCCGTTTTATAATAATAATAATATCTTTAATAGGATGACCCAGAGGCTTGTCGCCTATCAAGGGGTTCACAGCTTTGAAGGATGTACATGTACATGTACACGTATGAGCTAAAGTGAAAGTAGTGAAAAGTTGTGCAGCGTGAATGCGTTGGGGAGCACACGGGGGGTTATGTACATGGCGTAGGCATACCGGAGAGCGAAGCACTATGTTTGCAAGTGAGTTTGCGAAGCTCATTCTTGAAAACAATAATGGATGGTTCTGCAGTTAGTCTTGGTGGGAGGCAGTTCCATAAGAGGGAGGTTTGGAAGAGAAACAACGATTTTGATGTGGTCTTTGCTTTAGGGAGAATAATTTTGTTAGGGCGTCTCGCACTCTGCATGATATTGAAATGGAATGAAGCTAGGCAACGTCGATACTTGAAAATAAATTTGTGCATGGTAACCAAGCTTAAAAACTGCCTGCGGTAAAAAAGGGATTCAATGTTAGCTTTTTTATTAAGATCCTGCTTGGGTGTATTAAAGTCGATTTGGATTTTGCGTTTCCTAAGGTAGGATCTTGCAAACCTGGCCTGGACTCTATCCAGCTCAGTCAAGTCGCTTGAACGAAGACGAAAGCACCACACTACGACGCTATACTCAATCACAGGTATGCCGATGTACTCCGTGTGGTAGGGTCCAGCGGATAATGCCGGCATTATATTCGGCATTATACGACTATCCGAGTATCAGAGCATTATGGAGCATTAGGAAGGAACAAAACGAGCATTATGTGAGGTTTGAGCGGCATAACGAGTTTCATAGTGGATAATATCGGGAAATCCCAGGTTTTTGGCAACATTCGGCTACAATCATGATCATGAGATGTTGTCTGATGATTGGTTTTTGCCATGAAACTCTGAGTAACAACGAATATTTTACTCCTTTTGTGTACCTCTTGCGTACCACGCTCCTCCCATTCCGGGCATTTGAGCATCATGCATTGTACCGGCGAATGACTTTGTGATTGTGTAGACACGTAACACCTTCAGCACTAACGCTACATTACTATTGCTACATAAAAACGTTATGATTGTAGCGATGTGGTCAGGTAAATGAAATACAAGCCATGTGTGAAGCATGCCCAACCGAGGCCGAGGCAGTTCAAGTGACACAAATCCGGAGAAATTACTTACGAGGTTTCTTTTACTTTTAGAATCATGCAGAGCTAGCTATGGAGGAGACATACGCGAAGTGCATATCAAACAGATGAAGAAGAGTTTTCTAGTTGCGCCAGAGGCTCTGGCGATAGCATCTCTAGCGATACTGAAATAGACACTGATGCATTGCTACATTTGGACCAGGATGAAGGAGCGGCTATAAACAGAAAGAGCTCGTTCTAAAAGAACTGCCTTTGCTGAGTCCAGCTCAGGAGGCTCGAAAAGAACTAGAATTTCTCATGGACTCAGTACCAAGTCGATTGCTCAGCAGCGCCTGTCTTACTTTCCTGATGAAGCACGTACAGTTAGTTGTGGACGGTTGTAATGCCAGGCCTACAGTCAAATGCTATCAGAAAGGAAGAGTATTGTGGCAAGCCATACGTCTACACACCATCTCAAGGAGAAGATGAGAGCACAAGCAAAGGATGTAGAGTGGCAAAATAACTTCTGACCACGTGTTTTCAGGATTTCCGCAAATGGGAAGGCTCTCCATCTGAGATTGGATCTCAGGAGCTGGCCTCACGTCTGGTGTTTCAGATGAAGGCATTATTCACAGAGTGGATGCAGTGACAGCTTGTCTGCAGGCAGGAATACTATTTGCCAAGATTAACTTCATCCCAACAATGAATGAATACCTGCAATAATGGTTTCATCTCTCACTACATGGATAATTAGGGGAAAGATTTGATACACCGACTATTCTGCCACAACCCTGCATCAAAGTTGCAATGGAGAGCAATCAATGGAGAAGCGATCATGTCTTATAGTGCTAAGAAGTGGTGGAGCTCGTGAGAGATAAGGTGGCAACTTCAGATGCAGATCGACGATATGCATAATTTCCTGGAAGTTTGACAATGTGCAGACTTTCTTCCATTTTTGTCCCAAACCTAGAGCATTATATCCCTTGCTGAAGCATTATAATCAGCATTATAAGGCAGTTTTTGGAGCATTATGGTTAGCATTATACGAACATTTTCGGAGCATTATCCGCTGGACCCTACTCGCAGTGGAGTAGCTGTCCCTCGAGTGCTGTGAAGAATCCAAGGTCGAAGAATGCTGTGGTGGGAATTGCGGATTGGCTAGTGGAGTGCTGGAACAACTCGTTGTTTTCAGTGGAGTGGACGAGCGAGTGCGGAGAGGAAGGTCCCAATGGCGGAATGGTGGGAATTGAAACTTCAATCTTTCGTCGTCATGAGTGCACTGGTCAAGCGTTGTGGAAGTCTGTCGGATTTGTGAGGCCTTGCCCTGCCGCTTACATCGTCAACGTGGAAGAACTGCTAGTGGAGTCCTGGTGGGATTTCGGATGCTCACACTCCTTTTGCTTGGTGGATTCTTTCGTGGACAGTGATTTTCGTGACGTGAAATTTTGATTTTTTTTCTTTTTTCCTGTTCATTTTCAGTCGTTGTCACTGTAGCTGTCAGGTTGTTGTTACAGTACAGCAGTCGTACGTTCTGATCCATTGTTTCATCTGTTTTGCCAGTTCTGCTAGCTGATTCTCTTTATTTGCCACTGCCCCTCATAGTGCTCATGCTTGGGTGGAGGGCGGCGTGACCCGTTTAGGGTAGCTGTATCATAGTAGTAGTAGAGTAGTAGTAGTGTGTGTGTGTGTGTGTGTGTGTGTGTGTGTGTGTGTGTGTGTGTGTGTGTGTGTGTGCCACGGTGTGTGTGTGTGTGTGTGTGTGTGTGTGTGTGTGCACTGGAAATGATAGTAAGCGGCTGGAGATCAATAGTACGGATCCAGTGTCAAACATGGCATTAGCTACTGTTTCAGGTATACTTATATTGAGCAAGGAATACAACAGGCAAAGTCAGTGACCGTCTGACCGATTGTAAGGTACCGTTGCAGCTTTGAAGGTTGTGCTGGAGCGGACGTCTCCTGGTAATCTGTTCCATTTTATCTGTAGCGCTGAAGGCGTACCTCGACTTGCCAGCGTTTATTCTTGCAACTGGAAGACTGAGTCTGTCCTGCTGCTGAAGGCGGGTTGCTCCACTGATTTGCGGAGTTGGTAGCTGCGTGGCGGACTGCTATGCCGCTTTTTATTTTTAATATGGTACTATAGTCTGTATACGTCACTGCTGTTTTCATGTGGCCACTGAGCAAGATGGCGGAAATTTCGTCACGTGCATGAAACATGACCATCACCATGGTAGTTTCCGACAGCGTCACGACGCTGACATAGTGAGATGTAGAAAATAAGAAAAAATCTGTGACCTACCAAAACAAAAGTACAAAGATCAAGGCCGGGTTCATCATGCTACACTTACCAGACTAGACTGTAGTACGAACTCGGAGGAAGACCAAAATAATGTTTGTAGCTGCTGGATGCGGTCGGAAGAAGGAGGCTCCGTCACTCCTCTCGATCTTCATTGCATGCGGAGCTGCTAGAATCTTAGTGCTTTCTCTTTCGACTCTCGGGGAAGAGAGGTACCTGGCGGGGGAGTGTAGACGGCAAGTGTTGCTTCACTGTCGTGCGAAGACGCTGCAATTCATTCACGATACCCTCGTGGCGATGCTGGAGTGAATTGAACTCGTGGTGGATACTCCCGCCACCCTGCTCCGCGAGGAGTCCAACGCCGAACTCTTTCACAGCGCCTGGCAAATGTGCCTCCAGGAGATGTAGTTTGGGCGTCATGTTGCCGAGCCGCCTGGCCACCACCTCACGTCTTGCTGTTGCCATGAACGTCAAGGCCGTCACGGCCGTTTTTTTTTTTTTTTTTTTTTTTGGAGCACATTACAACAAAGCACAATGCATAATCGCAGCTTAGCGCAAACGTGACAAATCCTTGTCCCCGATCGTGGTTTGTTGCAGAAAAAAGTCTTTCATTGCAGTTACACTGAAATGGCACCAAATGCCTGGAAATGCTTGCAATTGGCTTCAATTTTTGAATTTTTCCCGGGGAGGGTAATGTTTGTCCCCGATTGTAGCGTCTTCTTCGTTTGTTGCAGAATCAAAAAGACTTTCATTGTAGTTACCGTACACTG